TCATCCTGGCTGAAACGAAATCCTATCCGTCGTTAAGTTAAATGTAATTCGTGCGTGCAAAAAATTAATATAAATGAAAGTATTTTCAAGAGTACGTGGAATTGACCGTGACCCGTTCTGGCTTAAATGTCTGATAGACTTAGAAGATTTGCAAAGTTCGTTTATAAGTTCGTCCCAAGATTAATGTTCAATATTTGTATGTATTAAATACGGAGGGATTGAATCAGCTATAATCATGAATTACGGGATGCTAACTAGAATTTAGCTTCCGTTAAGTGCACTACCACTTGTAAATTATATCTATTGAAAAAAAATATATTGTAATCAAATGAATTTCAGTTGATTAAATTATTATATTATGTTACTTTGGCATTCATTTTTTCCAAATAAATGTTTGCATGTCCTTGCGCAAGTGGGTGGGGAAGGGGGAGGTTAACTTACCCCATTGAGGATCTTTTACAAACATTTTTACTAATAATATACCTCGTTATCATTATATAAAAGTTAAACCGATTTGAAAATTTATATATAGTTGTCTATTTTTGTTTTAAAAGTGCCAATTATTTTGATTTGAAGCCTTTTTCTATTGAATTTTTGCTTGTTTTCCTCCTACTGTCGATAATCGTAAATGCAGTCATCGATAGAACATATTTTCACTGATAAGTCAGCTGTTCAGATATTTGTTGGCATTCATTGATTTTCGATCCTGATATTTTTGATCATTATCATTAAAAAACCTACAAATATTTTCAAGTTTTGCTACACAGATAAAAAAAAAATCATACTTACTTATTGTTTAATACGTGACTGTGTCTTTTTGACCCGGGATAAAAGAAAAGTTTGAACAATGATTTATAAACAAAAAGATACCAAATATACGTATGTACAATTTTTCCCTTAACAAAAGAATATGGTAATTGAGTAAAAATTACGTTATGTTATCAATAATTTCTAGGTTCCGAGTGCAACTCAGCTAATTATGACGATGGTCGGAATGTCTATTCCCAGAAAAAGGAAATCTATAGACATCCTGAAAACTGTTCGATTACATTTTCGCATCTGATTTTAGAACAAAAAATGAGTTCTTTAAACTGTAGTTAGGTGCCGAGTATATCAAGTTAAATAATTTTTTCCCATTATTAACATAAAAATACCGTTTTCTTCTTTTTGTTGGAATGAAGCGAATCTTCCCTTTCAGCTCCACAACGTGATCCAAACTACGAAGGTATCACATGACCTAACTGTTGCCTGATGCCTATTATTTATTTATTTATTTATTTATTTTTAAAGCATGTTTAGAATAATAATGAATATAAGAATAAAAAAATTTCGAACGAATGAAAAATTTTTTTGGTTCTTCCAATTTCCTTAATCGATACACCTCCACGTATCATACCTAATCGTTTCGATTATTTTTTATCAACACCAATGTTGCCGTTCGAAATCTTGTTCACGCCACAACAAGTAAACCGAGAGCACGCAAATACCGTGAGGACGTACGACGATAAATATTTTATCATCATATGATGTTCGGTGCTGCGGCCGTGTTGCGCACGAGTCACGGTTCAACGTTCTTCACAAGACGATTTTACAGTAGTGACTAATGTGACTACAACAGTGGCAAACACGTCATAATCACGCACTCGAAACGAGGTGCGATCAACAAGTGACGCGTAGAGCCGACTAACTGTGCGCTGCGAGTTCCACGCCACGAGAATGCTACGTTAGTGCACGCTTCGTTGTGGTGGTGAATGGTGTTGATGATAACATGAACCAGAGTAATAATAATAATAATAATTCCTATCATATTATCATATGTTGTCAATGTTTTGTTTCGTTTTGTTCAATTCTTTGCATTACATTGAACGTTCTACATTCCATTAGTAATTATCGGCAGCAAACAGCACATGACGATCGAGGTAAATATCATAATGTATACGAATATTACTACGCGTTAACATTTGAAAATAATTTTGAGAAAAAGTAAACATTCCGGCGAAACAATTGACATTTCAATACATTTTTGATAATGTAATTATAACAATTATTATATGTATTAATAACAACGATTACGGTTTTAGTTTTTATTTAGTAATTTAACTGATAGTACATACTACATGTTATTGGCTTTAATTCCACTATTATAATAACTCTGACTACCGTTGTGTTTAACATAAATTATTATTCAAATTATATGTCAGGGATACAATTATTAATAGGTGCATTTGTTACTACTTATTAGCCAACAAAGCTATAAAACACTGTGTATTTTTATTCATTACATTAAGAATAGAGATCAATAACCATATGAAATTAACTTGTATATTTCATCTAATATTCTTTATTTTTAAACGGCTCACAGCTTAAATAATTTGTTTTAGCTCTGTTTAGTACTTACTCACATATATGTCTTCCATAAATTAATATGTAATAGATTATAATATTTATATTCAATTTTGTATTTACATATTAAGATAAAAAATAATTAATAGTTATTTAACTAATATTTTATTTAAAAAAATAATGACATTTACATTTTATATTTCATAAGTAATCAAATTTAGGTAGACATTGTATGACTTGTATGGTCACTACTTTTGTATACTAATAGGTGTCCTATAAGTTCAAAAAATAATGTTATTGAAATGATTTTAAAAGGGTCTTTTTTGAATGTCATTCCCCGTTATCTTCATTTATTTTTAAACAAATATTTAAAATAATTTATAGTAGCTAGGGTATATTTTATTTATTAATCATATTTAGTTTAATAATTTTAAGTTGAAATATTTACATTTTAATCAAAATAGTGATATTGTAAGCATGCTTATTATAAATTATTATAAATTGTATAAGTATTGTACATTGTATAAATACAACAATATAGCTGTTGTAAAACATTGTCTTCTTAATAGAGTAATTTATTACTATAGTATATATGCATATATTGTTATGACTAATACTTCCCCAAAGTATTACATAAATTCTGAAAAATATTTTATACTTAACAATAATAAAAGTTTAATTTGTTTTCTCAAAGCTGTTACATTTAAATTATAAATACTTTACGCAAAGAATAAAACAATATTTCTAAATATATTCCTTATGTATTTAGATGTCCTTGAATTATAACTACTTTTATGTAGTATGTGCACCTGCATATTTTTAAATTAACTAATAGCCACATTATAGGACTAGTTATTTAAAATAAACTGTTATACTTTAACATATGAACTTAGCATAGTATTAAATGTAATATTTTTATTTTTAAGCAAATTAAATAAATTTTAAATTTATGTATATAGGTATGTAACATGTTGTATTTATAATATACTTTTTTTTTAATAAAGTTATAAATTTATCAAAAAATGAGCTTAAATATTTTTAACCTCAATAGATTATCTATTCATATTTAAAAAAATTACGTTAATGTGTAAAAATTATTTTGAAATATGTTATTTATTTAATAAATCATAATTATCACATCTCTACATAATTTGAATCCTTTTTTTTTATATTTAATTTGCCTTTGAATTTTAATTCTTATTATAATATAACAAATATTGACATTAAAACAAATAATTAAAATATAACTATAAAATAATAATAGATTTAATAACTACAGATCATAATTTAATGGTAATAGTTTATATTTTTATTAATAAATATTAATTTAAGACATTAATAAATTAATAATATAAGACATCGTGACTTTTTATTTAATTATGTAAATTATATACTTTAAGTTAGTTACTAAATATTTATTGTTATTTATTAAACTGGGATAAATGTTTTTTGCTTACTTAATATTTTAATTATCATTAAATTTTTGAATTTACGGAAGAAAAATGAATGTTATTCAGTGTGATCATGGTAATTGGAAACACTCAACAACTTTGTGCAGACTTCATATATTTCAATTCTGCTTTTTTGGCTTACTAATAAACACTAATACACATTTTCAGATAATTAGACTATATTTGTCACAATCAATTTTCGAGCATGCGCACAAAAACTTTTTTTTTTAAATAACATGACCTATTTTTAACCACAAATTATTGTTTTCTGTATTCTTTAATGAATTTTAGTGGTTGAAATTCTTTTCTAAGTTAAAAATTGGCCGAGTTATAGCAACTTGATTTTATGTTACTTGTACAGGTATAACAGATTATAAAATACATAATTAATAATAATTTAAAAACATGATTTTTCCTAATAAAACTACTTTCTTAGTTACTAGATTTAAATTTAAAAAGAAAATAAAGTGCATAACCTAATAAAATTAATTTAATTTGATTTTTAATATTTTCTAGGAAATCAAAATATACTGCAATATTCAATTGGTTTTTAATAGTAGTTAAATGGCTAAATTGCTGTTAAACCTTTTATAACAATAATTAAAAATTCTCCTACTTTTATATCATATCATTCATAATTATAATTAAAAAACTTTCATTTTTGGTAAAAATCAAAATGTTTATAATGTTATGAATTTCAATATCTTATATAATTTATCATTCTTTCTCTTTTGATTTTTTCTATCACTATTATTATGAATTATTTTTTTTAATTTTGTTTTGAGCAGTATGTAATTTTAATAACACTTAGATTTTATAACAATAATTAACATTCCTATATAATTGTAAATAATTATTAAACATAATTCATAGCCATATGTGTTAAAATATTAATTTTGTAATTATATTTACATTCTATAGTTTTTATCTAACCAAAGAATTTTGTTATTATTATTATTTTTATTTTAATATAATTTTTTTTTTTTGTGTAATTTTATCTAATTTAAATTTGTACATTCCATAGTAATAACACTAATTATAGTTTAAAATTAGCATTCTTTGAATTTATTTACACGTGATTTTAATAGTTGTTTTTAATTTTTAGATGAGTCATGGAGAATTCAGACTATCGTCCATTGCCACCTCCAAGGAATAGTGTCGCTAGTAAATGGATGAAAAAAAAACCACCAGTACCATTACCGCGCAAAAATGTAAACACAAATACTAGTGTTTTGAAAGATGGCTCAAGTTCAACATCTTCAACTTTTAAAGAAATAAACATTATGTTTGAAAAACATATTAAACCAGAAATAAAAATGGCATCTGAAAATGTTCAAGAACGAAAAAAGTCTGTCATCGAAAGTACTAGAAGTATGAGCATTTGCATTGAAAAATCATTTCGCAGCCTCTTGCCTAGACCTGCACGACAACATACAGTTAGTCAAACGTCTGAAGATTTCAAACAAGATGTAACTGAATCTCCAATTGACAACGACATATTTTCTTCGTTAAGTTTCGATTCTCCAATTCCATCAGATAGTAATTCTGAACGATCATTTAGTAATTATTATTCAGAATCAGACTTCTGTTGTTCACAACCTCCAAATTTTCCTCCACCTCCTTTGCCTCAAGATTTATTGTACGATAAGATACCAAACTCAAGTAATTGCAGTAGCCAATGTGGATCATATTCAACCGAAAACATTTATGAACTTATCACAATTGGACAAAAAAAATCACAAGCTACTTCCTCATATGAAAACTGGAATCCAATAAATGAGGGAAGTGTCAACATTAATAATACAAGTAATATTAAAAATGAGTCTAAGAATGGAAAATCAGATATTTATGAAAGTATTGAACCAACTTATTTATTAAATAATGAAGACTTTTCTAATAATACAAAATCAGTAGTTCTACAATTTGACCCTTTACAAAGTTCTTTTGGTAATGTATTGAAAAAAGAAGAAAAAGAAGTAGAAGAAGAATGCTTATTATTACAAGAAATTGATGAAATATTATATTCATCTCATTACAGTACTACTGAATCTACAAGTGTTGTAAATCTTGAAAATATAAATGAAGATTTGTATGCTGTTCCTGATCCTCCAATCCGAACAGATTCGATTGAAGAATTTTCCAATCCAGTAGTGTTACATACTGATGATGAAATAGATAATAGTATAGATTTAAAAGAAGAAATAAAAGTCGATCCTACATTTGAAGAAAAACCAAGAAAAAATTCATTAAAAAGTTGGCTTAGTATGAAACGTACTTTAAAAAAAGTAGCTGATGGATCAACAGGTTCAGTTCGAAAAATGAAATCAATACTTAAACCAGAAGAAAAAGATTTTGTATCAATAGAAAATTCTAATATCTTTCACAGTGGGGTTTTGTTCGTAAGTGTTGACGAAAAAAATAAAGATCTTGAAAAAAAATGGTGTCAAATTGCTGGTGGTCAACTTAAGTATTCAACCAATAAAAATGAAATGACAAATTTAATTTCATTGGCTTCAATATTAAGCATTCAAATAGTTAATGAATCTAAACAAAAGTAAACCTATTTCTTAATTTATTTTTATTTTATTATTTATATTTAAATTTCTTTCAGGGACGGTGAAGATATATTTTGTTTTATAGTGAAATTCATGTCTCGTCCTCAATCAATTTTGTTTGGAGCTATGTGTACTACTGAACGATCAGTGTGGATGCAGAAATTCTTAGGATCAACAACAAATTTATTTCCACTTAAAATGTCTTCTGAATTCAGTAGAGCTGGTTATGCTTCATTGAAAGTATAAATATTTGTATAACAGTTATAATTAGAATGATTTTTTATTTTTTTTTTACTACTTTAAATATAATATGTTTATAGGAAGGCATAAATGGTGAATGGAAACTAGCTTGGTTACTGCTGTACAACAGAGTATTTGCTTATGCTAAACAAACATTTGGACCAGAAATTATTGATTTAAGAAAAGTCAGAAATGTAGGTTAGTAAATCTTTTTTAGAATTAAACTTTAAGTCTACCTAGTAATAGAAATAATTTTTAATTAAACTTCTTGGTTTTTCTTATGTATGTTAATACGCATTTTTCTTAAATTAGAATATAAAAAAGTATATCATATACAAGTTTTCATAAGAATAAATTTAATGTGTTAAACTTTTCTTTTTCATTTATTGATCATTGTTATAATACGTTTAAAAAAACCTAAGTACAAAAGTAGATTGAAATAGATCTTTAATTACTTTTATCAAATGTGAGATTTCTTATATTTATGTATTTTATTTTATGTGAAATTTCAGCGATTCAAGAAGATAAAGAATTAGAAGTATCTGTGTTAGTCATAGATTGTATTACAAGGTCAATTTATTTGAAATTTGACGAAGATTCAGAAATTTTAAAATGGCAACATATTATAAAAGCAGAAACTGTGAATACAGGTCCACATTTAAAAGATCAGCAATTAAGTAAAGATCAAATTCCAGTCATTGTTGAAAAATGTGTTAAATTCATTTACGCTCATGGTATGTATTATAATATGGAATGCTATAATCAGTTAAAATTAAATTATTTCAATTTTTTTTTTTACAGGATGCTTATCAGAAGGTGTTTACAGAAGAAGTGGTTCATGTTCTAATGCTACTAAACTCTTATCTGCATTCAGAAAAGATGCTTGGGCTGTTCAATTAAGTCCTCAAGAGTATTCAGTATATGATGTGGCTAGTGTATTGAAAAGATTTTTTAGGGATTTGCCAGAATCTGTATTTACCACTGAACTTCATACTCATATATGTAATGCTGCAAAATGCAATTGTTCAGAAGATGAAAAAGTTATACTTTATAGAACTTTGTTAGAACGACTACCAGCTATTAATTTTGTTACTGTGCGTACACTTCTAAGTCACCTATATTATATTCAACTTCAGAGTGATAAAAATTTAATGACTGTGCAAAATTTAGCATCTATTTGGGGTCCTACTTTGATGCATATTGAAGTAAATCAAAGCAATTATTATTAGTCGTATAATAAAGTATAAGTTAATATTAAATTTTTTCATTTGAAATTTTAGGACAGTGATTCACTTAACTGGTCAAAAATAGAATCTGAAGTAATAAATGATCTTATACTTTTATATCCTAAATTATTTTATGTGGAAGATGATGAAACAATACGAGAAGATAGAATCTTAGAAGCATTAAAACAATATAATTTATCAAATGGTAATATACCTCAACCATCAAAACCTTCTGGAGATTTAAAAATTTGGATTTATCTTGGTTCAAAAGATAGTGAAAACTGTGTCAATGTCACTGTAAGCTTGTATTATTATAAAAGTTATTAATTAATTTGCTTAGAATTTTTGTTTTTTAGTTAAGTCCAGGTAAAACTGCCTTTATGGTTTGCAGTGAACTTGCTAATAAAATGGGAGCTAGTGGAGGATATTTACTTGGCTTACAAGAGGTAGTATGTAATGGAGCAATGATTCGTCCAATTCATCATTCAGAATGTTTATTAGATATAGTTCTGTTATGGGCTTATTGGGATGTAAAGTTTAGAAAAGACAATTATATTGTTTGTCTCCAACCAAATTCTTTACTTATTGAAATAATGCCATTTGTAAGTAACTAAGTCCATGACACATTTGTGTATATTGTATATCTATATAGTGTACTATGCAGTGGCACACAGGGGGGGGGGGGTTGAGGTCATAACACCTCTCGAAATGTCTTCCTTCATTACATTTTAATTTTACATAACTAAATTATACAAATGAGTTTACAAACAAGAATGACATTACATTTATAAAATTACACAATTATGCATATATTATTCTATTATAACAAGATAACAGTTTTCATTTAGTTTTCGTTGATCTTATAAACTGTTCATGGTAAATTAAGAAGTTTAAAGTATACAGAATAATAACAAATAATATCATATTAGGGATTTATTTTCCATGTACAGATATAAATAGTATATACTTTTTTATACAATGTTTAACAATATATTCCTATAGGGTTAATGTTAATGTAACATTACGTACAACATTAATTATTATAGTAAATTATTAATAGCAATCCCCCCCCCTAAAAAAAAAATCCTGTGTACGCTACTGATAATATGGCACCATAAATTTATTCATAAAATGTGGACTATTTATATCTTTATAGGCCAAAGAACCCGTAACTTTTTGTGCAGAATTGAAATTTGCAGAACAAAAGAGCAAATCATTTAAATCCTATTTATTTGAAATAAGTGATGGAAAATTAACATGTTACAAAGATAAATCTGTAATTTTTATATTTGAATTTTTCTAATATTTTGCTTTACTAACTTTTATTTAATTTAAGGGATCATCGACATTACATGAATGGTATATCAAAGATGTAATTTGGTATATTGGATTTGAATCCAAAAGAAATCCTCATACTAGGTAAATACTAAAAAAATTTAAAATGTTCAATTGAACAGAAGCTAATTTATTTTGAGTAAAATAGTAGTGAAATTTGTCTAATTAACTTTACTATGGATTTAAAGGTATATGGAATTTTATTAATTTTATCAGTACTTTTTAAACAATTATTTTGAAAATTATTTGTTTCTTTTTAATGTAATTTTAAATGTCAATAATTACTTTTCAGACAATTTATATTTAATATATTTCATTTTTTAGATGGTGTATAACATTTATTTTAAAGAATGATCTTCCAAAAGAGTGAGTAAAATATAATCAATGCATAACTTATAGTATTCAATTAACTCTCAAATAATTTTTGTTTAGAGTGAAAGATAATTTTGGTTGGTCAATTGCTGGTACTACTAAAGAAGATCATTTGCGTTGCATGGCTGCAATGTTATTAGCTGAATATGGAGTTGATAATATTTCTCCTCCGGTGACTGTGAATTTACTAGATTATTAAAATAATTTTTTCTAGGTATTTAATATTCAAATATAATTTTACTTAACTATTATAGGCATAATGTTAAAGTAATACTCTAATTGGGGTTATTAAATTAATTTTATACAAATCAGATATTTTCTTTATACCAATGTTTTATTTATAACTTATATTCATGTATTGAAAAGTTCAATTTTGGGAATTATTATTTTAAATTACATTTTATAAAATTAATTTGTTTGTAATGATTTAATGAATTAAATCAATTATTATATTAAATAATATGAAAATAATTGTTCATAATTTAGCTATAACAACAATGATCTCATTTATATTCACAAATACTTTTAACATCCCTGAAGTCTGAACAGATATTTTTATTAATATAAATGTTCTTGCCATTTATGGAATTCATACTAGTCTAATTCTAAATTGGTTTTTTTTTATCAAAATTTACCATGAATTGTTAGTGAACTGTTCCATTTGGTTTGTTAAGTTTTAAAGTGTACATCTTTTGTTCATAATTTTTGCATATATTAAATCCTATCTTTGTTTGAAATACAAAATTACGATTATATCTATTTGCGTAATTATTTTTTATATCAACTTTAAAAAGTATTTTTGATGTAGTAAACAATTAAATTGCATGATATTTTGTAATATTCTGTTGTAACAAAAAATATTCAATTAGCTCTGTTTAGAATTTAGTTAAGTTTAATAATCATGGTGCTATTAATGTGATAATTACAATTTAAGTATAGATTATTAAAATCAAACATATTATATTTTTGGTTTTACAATTTTTAAAAAAAATTAATAATTATAAATAAGAATTTTTACCATTTAAAATGTATTTATTTTAGTTTGGTGATTAATTACAATTAATTTAAATTATTATTATATTAACTACATCTAGAATATATATTTTCCTAATAACATAATTGTACTGGTAGGGTTAATTTAAGATGTATTTTTTTATTAGTTTATTATTTAAGAAATTGTATGATTATTATATAAATATGTAAATTATATATTTATAAAGCTTATGCACATCAGTCGATACTATTTACTGACCAGAGACTTACCTTAGTATTAACTAATAACAATAATTATTTTATTTTTTATTTTTGTAAGGTATTTTGGAAACATAATGTTTAAAATATAAATATACGATTTAAAATTTAAAAATGATATTTATTAAGCTGTTTTTTACTGATATACTTAAATTCAAGAAACATTGTAAAATATAACAATTTAAATAATTTGAAATGTAAAATGTCAATAATATTTTAATTGTTATAAAAACCAATATGATTAAGAATAGATAAAAATCACAGAATATAATTATTATTAAAAACTACTATGCAATATTGAATACTAGTATTCTCAGTGAAAAAAAATGTAAAATAAACATTTATAACTTTAAACTTTCACAACTTAGAAAATTTGAATAATATCATCGACCTTTATAATTCAAAATCATTTAAAATTGAATAAATACATGTGTGTTAAATGTTTACATGATTGAAATTAAAATTTGTAATACTAAATAATTTTTTTTTAGAAATAAAGTGTTATTCTATTCAACCGTTTTTGAAATCATGTGACCTTTATGAAGAATAAATAATACATAATGCACTTTTATATCAATTTATATTTTAGTATAAATCAAATTTTGAAAACATTTATAAATAGGGTCAACCCACCTGATCAATACACCTTATTGAGCTGTAAGTGATAAAAAAAGTTGATAAATAATAAAAAAGTTCTTAATAAATTCATCACAGTAAAAAATAAACATTATAAAATATAATAATTTTGTATATAAATATATTAAATAACATAGTAAACTCAAACATTTCAATAACTAGATTTTAAAGAAAATTGTCAGAATAGTATGTATATAAATACCGTGTGTTCAATTTTAAAGATAACAGGAAATATTTCAAACGCAAGACCTTTAATTTCATTCGGGATTTTTTTTACAGGGTAAAGGACTTATAAGTACATATGTTTTTGATAAATTCTAATTTTTAACTTTTTTTATCTGCGCATGCGCAGTAAAATAAAAATTTCTTATAATAGGAACCACCATTTTTGACACTGGATTTGGTTTGCTCTATTTTTTTTGAGCAACTTTTGGAAAATCCTTTGAAATATGCGATAAATACGAATCACCTAATTTAAAATTTTCGACCGCCTTAAAAATGTCAATTTTGAACATATCAAAAAACTTTAAAGATCAAAGTTACTCAAAAAAAAATAGAGCAAACCAAATCCTGTGTCAAAAATGGTGGTTCCTATTTAAGAAATTTTTATTTTACTGCGCGTGCACAAATAAAAAAAGTTAAAAATTAGAATTTATCAAAAACATATGTATTTATAAGTCCTATACGCTGTAAAAAAAAACCCGAATTAAATTCAAGGTCTCGTTCGAATTTTTATATAAAATAATAGATGTGGTTTTACTTATTTGGATTCTGTACACTTATATATTGTTCTTTTTTTTACCAAGTTATTATGTATTTCCCAATAACCTTTGACACGTTTGCAGTGTGTTACGTAGTGGCCCATGTTTTTTACATCTGAATCTCCAATGTATGAAATTGTTGACTGTAGTGAAAACCTAAATAATAAATTATTTATAATATTAGTATATAATAAATTACCTCCTAAAATATATATATAAATAGTTATTATTAACATCTAAATATTTACTTTTCTTTTCCAATAAACAACTTTGATGTTATATCATTGACTAAGATTTTATTTTCATTTATCGTATTACATTTAAATACGTCTGTTTCCAATAAAATATGTTCCTGCAACACTCATATGGAATTTCTACTTATTTTTTTGCTGTTTGGACACCATTTTTCTTTTTTTTCCGTAATATATTTATTTAAATATTTATTTATATCTTCTAAGTGTCCACTACTATTGAACAATTCGTTGAGTATTATTGTTGCATCATGAAATACGGTTTTTGTATTACAAATGGTACATTCCAATGTTTGTATACTGCTAGGTATATCAGAAAGAAGCTTGTTACTTAAAGATATAATATTGATATTTGCGTCCAACATTGAGGTTCCGGATTCTACTGGTGACTTTTTAAAAAATCCACTTTCTAGCAGCAAATTACCTCGTTGTTGATAAGTAATGCTTGTTGATCCATGAAGAGCTACATCTTTGCATAATCTTATAAAAGGATTCATTTTATTATTATCAATATATAACTTATAACTTTTGCTATCGATGTAACTTACTGTTTTTGCTACTAAAAGCGAATCAAAAGCACACGTGTTAAATATCAGAATTTTTTCTTTATTTACTTTAACAGCGGGTAAAAGATTTCCGTTTAATATCACTGATAATGAAGTTGATCGTAATCCTGAAGTGTTTAGTACACGACGAATATCTGAACATGGACTTGTATATTTTGATAATCGTTTGGAATTTATTATTTTTTTTTTTAATTTTGATAGGTTGGTCTGCTTTATTTCTCCAATTTTCTTGTGTTCATCTGTTATCATTATATTTAAATCAGATTTATCTGAATTGATAGAAATATCATCATCACTATAAAATTCCGATTCAACATCATTACTTATATCGCTATTTATATAAATTTCCTTATTTGTTTCATTACCATATATCATATCAGTACTACTGTTGTTTGATCTAAAATTATTTTTTGATTTATAATCTTGAATTTTGTTAACTTGTAATGATCTGGCCATTTTTAATTCTCCTTCTATCGATAATAAATGTGAACCAACAAAACGGTCTATGGTGTTAAGTGATTGTCTCAATTCATTTTTGGAATGAGAAAAATATCCTTCAACTGGTGCTCAAGTGGCCGTTTCATACTTTGATTTATATTATCTAGCCATTATGTTTGTCCAGAGAGGAAAATCTTTGGTAATCCGAAAAAGAGAAGCACATAAGCCAGGTAAAAAGTACCCATTCAAACGATCACCACGTGTATCAGAGAGAACTGCTACACGTTCTTTAATAATTTTAATAAATGTATCCATATTATTTGAAATATTATTAAGACATTGAACATTATTTTGAATATCTTCATTTTCTTCAACTATTTCTTGGTCATCTGAAATTATATTTTCTTTGAAATCAACATTTTTGATTTGTTTTAAAATATTTTCTCTGAATTTTTCTGACGAAGTGTAATATTTTGTACCTTCTATATTACCATCAAATTCTGAAGATGCAATTACTAAAATTTCAGTTAACATTGTTTTAAATTCATTAAGTGTTTTTGATTTTATAAGGAGAATTCAGTTCGTGTTTAGACGTCGTACAGTCCACACGTTATTGTCTCGCGCACCGCTTTATCAGCTCTCGTTAGCGTGTTGTTTTTGTACGTCTTCGTAATCAGCGCTCGTCGCGGTACCTCTACCGCCGGTAATGTATAATTTATTTAAACACTACCCAAGGCCAACCCAAAATATATTTTATCTACATCATTATGAGTAACTCTCGTCGTCCATCTACTCCTATCACCAAAAAACCTCAATTAATAATTAATAACAATAAATCTGCAAAGAACTCTATTCCGCCGTTAATTATCAGTAAACAGCTATTAAATGACCAAACAGGTGGCAATTCCCCCTCTGACCTCTCTGACAACGAATCCGGCTGGCAAACAGTCCCGCCATTATCTAAACACGTCAGATCTCCAAATAACGCATCTCCTGTTGCTAAAAAAGCACCCGACAAAAGCATTTTTATTTCTGAAAATCGTTTTTCTCCGATTGCTCCTCCTACCGTTGATGATCCAATGGATTCAACTGTCACTAACGAAGAAAATACTGAAAACAAAACTTCAAAACCACCTCCTATCTTTATTCAAGATCAATTAAATTACAACAACTTCTGCGCAAAAATCATCGAATTAACTGATGCTACCGGCTTTGATTGTAAAAGCTCTACCAAAGGACTTAAACTCCAAACATATAGCCCTGAATCTTATAGAACAGTCGTTAAATACCTCAAGATTAATAATGTCTCATTTCACTCCTTTCAACTAAAAGAGGAAAAAGCATATCGGGTCGCAATCAGAAATCTGCGCCACACCACTGATACCTCTTTTATTACACAGGAACTTTTTAACAAAGGATTTGTCACCAGAAATATAACGCCTGTAACTCACAAGTTAACCAAAACTCCCCTACCAATCTTCTTCATCGATCTTGAACCCAGTCCAACAAACGCCGACATTTTTAAAATAACTTCACTGTGTTACACAAAAGTTAAAGTTGAACCTCCTCATCCAAAAAATGAAATTCCGCAATGCCACCGTTGTCAGGACTACGGCCACACACGCAGTTATTGCCATCACTCTCCTCGCTGCGTTCGCTGTGGCGAGCATCATGAGTCAGCATCCTGCACTAAAGATCGTACCTCCCCAGCCAAATGTGCTTTATGCAGTGGCAATCACCCTGCCAACTTTAAAGGTTGTCAAATTCACCTTGACCTTAAAAAAAAATTATTAGTGAATCCCACCAAAAGAATCTCAAACAAAAGTTCTCCTCCAAGTCAACCAACTACCTCGAACATCCACGAACATACGCACCCAGACTACTCTCAAAATTTTCCATCATTACCTCAGAACCCATCTTCTCACGCTCAAGATCAAAACTCTACCCAAAACCAAAATATTGCTGCTCAACTCTCCTCATTCATAAATGAATTCAAGGCACTAATTAACCCTCTCATATCACTTCTCACCACAGTCATTGATAAACTTATTAAAAATGTCAACAAATAATGCTCAACCACTCACCATATTCCTATGGAACGCAAACGGCATCACACAACACTTAAATGAACTACAATTAGTCCTCAATGAAAAAAAAGTTCAGATTGCACTCATTACAGAAACTCACCTGACTAAAGCTTCTTCACTCAAGATATTCGGATACGATATTGTCAGAGCTGACCACCCAGATGGTACTGCACACGGAGGTGCTGCTCTACTCATTTCAAATAAAATCGACCATCTCCCTCTCCCACCATATATGTCTTCATACATACAAGCAGCTAGCATATCAATCAAAATAAACTCTATACCTATTTCCATTTCCTCTTGCTATTTCCCTCCAGGAAGAACCTTCCCTTCGGCTGAACTGATTGGCCTCTCCCAAACTCTAAGCTTCACCTACGTTATCGGTGCTGACTTTAACGCAAAATACCAAACTTGGAGCTGCTCCACCAACACCAGGGGTCGTGCTCTATACAACTTCATCTCGCTTAATCACCTCAAGGTGTTAGCGCCGTGCTCTCCAACCTATTGGCCATCACATGGCAACCGTCACCCTGATACCCTTGACTTTTTTATCACTAATCTCCCTAACCACTTTTCCACTGAAGTCGTCAACCTAAACGATCCAGCTTCTGATCATACACCTGTATTACTTCTCATCAATGCCCAACCCAATGTGAAGCAAAATAGACCAACCATTACTCCTGGTACTACAAATTGGAATGAATTCAGAGCCACCGTTTCAAACAAAATTAATCTTAACACCAAATTAAAATCACCTTCTGATATCGACCATTCTATCGCCAAACTCTCTGATCTTATTCAAATCTCTGCCAAGGATGCATCAACCCAGCGCCCACCTTATTCTCAAGCACCCAACCTACCACCGGAACTAAGACATCTTATTGCAGAAAAACGCAGAGCCAGATCAAAATGGCAACAAACTCATTACCCAGTAGATAAGACAAAATACAATTCTATTTCCAATAAACTTAAGGCCCTACTAAAAACACATAAAGCCAATCTCTACAAAAACCACCTACAAAACCTTTCTTTTACAAATGGATCTCTCTGGCGCAAGACAAAGTCATTACTACGAATTAAGGATTCCCCTCCTCCTCTCCGTCGAGCGGACAACTCACTTGCTTCTACAGACAAAGAAAAAGCAGATATCCTCGCTGAAGAATTATTGGGCGTTTTCAAACCTCATATGATTCCTACACCAGCACCACACATGTCAATAGTCATGGAGTCTCTTCAGTCAACTATTCCTATTGCCCTACCTACAAAACCTACTTCCCCAGCGGAACTAGTGGGTATTATAAAAAAACTGGCAAACAACAAATCGCCAGGTCATGACCTCATCTCTAACAAAGTCGTCAAAAACCTACCTCTGAAAGCGATCGTTCATCTTACTCATATTTATAATGCTGCCCTTCGGTTATCTTATTTCCCAACCACCTGGAAAGCATCTGTTATTGTCACTGTTCTCAAACCTCAAAAGCCTCCCGAAAACCCCTCCTCGTACAGGCCCATCAGCTTGTTACCAGTTCTGGGCAAAATCCTGGAAAAAATCATTCTCAAGCGAATCATCACCATAGCACAATCCAAAAACAGCATTCCAAACTTCCAGTTTGGCTTTCGTGCTCACCATGCCACAACTCATCAACTCCACAGGGTTGCGGACACTATCTCCGCTGCACTTGAAACCAAAAAATATTGCGCCGGTGTCTTTCTGGACGTCGCGAAAGCATTTGATACTGTCTGGCACGACGGTCTCCTTTTCAAACTAAAAAATATTTTTCCAGCCCCTTTATACCTAATACTTAAATCTTATCTTGCCAACCGCTCTTTTAATGTTCGCCATAACTTACAACACTCAAAACAATATCCCATATTTGCTGGTGTCCCTCAAGGCAGCGATATTGCTCCTTTCTTATACACCATATATACGTCGGACCTGCCTACATCTGAAAATACTCTGGTTGGAACATATGCTGATGATACTGCCCTATTATCAGTCTCTTCTGACCATACCACTGCATCTCATCAACTACAAACTCACTTAAATTCTCTCTCACAGTGGTTCACCAACTGGAAAATCAAAATCAATGAATCCAAGTCCTCTTTTGTGACTTTCTCACTCAGACCTCTAAACTGTCCAGCTGTAACAATCAACAACATCATCATTCCTCACTCAACAGAAGTAAAGTATCTTGGTCTTATCTTTGACAGACGCCTTACCTGGTCCTCCCATCTTAAAGACAAGCGTAAGAAACTGAACTCCAGACTTCACCTGCTAAGGCCATTGCTTCGTTCGAACCTTACCTTACCCATAAAAATCATTCTCTATAAAACTCTTCTTCAACCAATATGGACATACGGTATAGTAATCTGGGGTTCCGCCAAGAACTCGAACAAGAGAACTATACAAGCTTTTCAAAACATCACTCTTCGGTTAATCACTGGTGCACCCTGGTTCGTTTCCAACGAGACCCTAAACTTCGACCTCAAACTACCTTCCATCGACAATACAGCTGCTACCTACTACAAACGCTTCCACGCTAAACTTAAAGACATTCCTAACCAACTAATCAATGAGTTAGCTTCACTAACACTTCCAGGTAACCCAACCAGACGCCTCAAGAGGAAATGGTGCCGTGATTTGAAAACTTAAGTTAAAACTTATAATTCTAAGAGGTGTCACAAATGTGTGATTTCCTCCTCATGTGATTTCATTGTCAACTGTGTAAATATTATTAATATTACTTATTGTACAAAATGTATAGATCGTAATTTTTCAAATAAAGTCAATTATTTTTCAAAAAAAAAAAAAAAAAAAAAAAGGAGAATTATGGCTCTGACGTAAAATTCTTTAATTTGTCAGTGACTTCTTACCTTAAAACACTTCCATCTACAAATCATTTTAATTAAATGG